ATAAATCACGAAATTTGGCCTCATAGGCTGCAACAGACATCTTTCCTTGCTCTATATTCAGGAACTCATCTCTCATGTCTCTCAAAGTCCAGGGTATGTATTCTCCATGAAAAAGCTAGAGAATGTTGCCCGAGTCATAGGTAATGCCTTTGTTGGTCGACACTCAGCATGAGACCGCCACCACATTTTGGTGTCTCCCTGGAACTGGTATGTCATAAACTCAACACCAAATTGCTCCACTATATTCATTTTATGAAGCAACTCATGACAATCAACAATGAAATCATAAGCATCTTCAGATTCAATACCCTTGAAGACTGGAGGTTTCAACTTTAAGAACTACATAAAGAGATCATGTTGGTCACTAGTCATTATTGGCCCTATAGTCAATTGTGGAAACATTTTTGTTTCCAAGGACGCATCTATGCGGGGAGCCACAACAGTTGCATGTTGTACTCCTGAACCTGAGGTGTTGGTGCAGAAGATGTTGGGGATCCCCGCATGGATGCATCCTTAGAAACAAGCATGTTTCCTCGATTTACTACAGGGCCAATAATGACTAGTGACCAACATGATCTCTTTATTAAGTTCTTAAAGTTGAAACCTTCAGTTTTCAAGGGTACTGAATCTGAAGATGCTTATGATTTTCTTGTTGATTTTTAGGAGCTGCTTCATAAAATGGATATAGTGGAGCGATTTGGTGTTGAGTTTGTGACATACCAATTACAGGGAGACGCCAAAATGTGGTGGTGGTCTCATGCTCAGTGCGCCAAGGCATTACCTATGACTAGGGCATCATTCTCTAACTTCTCCACGGAGAAGTGTATGCCCTGGACTTTGAGGAGAGATGAACTCCTGAATATAGAGCAAGGAAAGATATATGTTACGGCCAATAGTCGTGTTTTATCCAGCTTTACTTCAGTCAACAAAAGCGGATTCGCCGCTTTATCGAGATTGAGGTCAGATTTGTGGATTCCAGCTTTACAAATGGCTACTTCTGCAAAATCTTTTTAGGAACTGGTTGATTTTGTGATAGAGGGGGTGAAGCCAAATGACTTCCCCAAGGTGACAACATTCAAGAAGTTCTTTAAGGGAGGCGAGTTTAGTGGTTCTTACCCAGAGGGCAGAGTTCTGGGGGTTGTCCATCCTGTCTTATTCAATCTTCATTGCAGGTTTCGTTGAGGGTCCGTCACATACCAATCAACCCTTTTCTGAGTTTGGTAGTTATCTTCAAAGACACCTACTCTCGACTCCAAACCTTGTTATGGATGTGGTGAGGTTGGGCATATCAGGAAATAGAGTCAAGCTCGATATGATCAGGGTTACAGAGCCCCAACATTTAGAGGCAGGGATGGTTATGGTAGAGGTTGTCATTCTGGAGGACATAGTGGTCGCCGGGTTGGAACTACTAGAGCGCAGCCCGACAGAGCCCATTGTTATGCTTTTTCCAGGAAGACAGAGGCATCCGATGCTGTTATCACAAGTACTCTTCTGGTCTGCAATCGCATGGCTTCCGTATTGTTTGATCTTGGATCCGTTTTTTCTTATGTATCTTCCTCGTTAGCTAAGGGACTTGATTTGCATTGTGACTTACTTGACATGCCTATTCATGTTGCTACTCCTGTTGTTGAGTTTGTGCTAGTTGAGAAGGTGTATAGGTCTTGCCTTGTGACTTTTGTGGAATGTACCTTCGACTTGCCCTCAGCTTTAGCCAGTCTCCAGCACATCAGATTCCAGAGTAAGCTATTCCTTCTAGCTCTTGTTGGATTCTCTCAGTCATGGCATAATGTCCTAGTTTTCGGACACAAACTATTTTGTTCATATATTATGGTTTCTTTGATACTTTCGTACTTAGTATTTGGGGATTAGATGTCCTTGATGTGATGACTTTCAAGTTTTGGGAAACGATATGTAATAGACTGTAAATGATTTTTATTTCTTAATAAGATTTGAGTTTATGTATTATTGTTGTAGTGCATAAGTTGAAAAACTAATAATAAGTTGGGGTTTGCATTCGTTGGTTCACCCGCCTAGAAGGTTAAGTGTGGGTACCACTCATGACTCGTTTTGGATCGTGACAAACTTGGTATCAGAGCAAAATTATGTAGATTTGATTATTCTAGAGATGGTTGACTTTGATATAATTCTGCACTGGCTTATGTTTTCTTTTAGCAAAAGGGGAAACTTAATATCAGATCCATTAACATGTGTATGCATCTACTACCACTCCACCAGTGGGGAAACAAAATAAGGAGGGAAGAATGAGTAAATCTGATTTCTGGTTCCTGTTCCTTTTTCTCTAGTTGGCATACATCAGGCTTTCTCTTGTCTCACAGGATAGACCCCTTTCTGTGACTATTAAGAGAAGAGTCACTGAAATAAATCAGCTGCAGGAACTATACTTCAATTATCCTTGCTATTTTAACCAAAATATCAATCAATCAGCTAGATGAATAACCCCAAACTAGTTGAGTTCAGCTATGGGAATCCTGCATAGCCCATTTAGAGGATTCATCATAATTGGACTATTTTTGTGTTGTTCATTATCTGGGTTTGAGACCGACTATACTATGCATAGCTCACATTGGCTAAGTTATTCTAACCTGACTATATATGACATAATCTGCCTCCAGATATCTACAGGCTATCTTTTCTTAATTGACAAACAAACGTGCCAACTTCTGAAATTCAACCTTTTGTCAGTTTTCTGTACCTGATAGATGAGGCTCTGATGTTCATAGCATACTGCTGCAATGGAACTCTTTTGGGTCAAATTTAAGACCAGACCAAAGTTTTTGCAGCTTACCTAGCTCTCAGCAGCTCCAAGCTTAACCTAGAGTCCTATGTCTTTTGTCCACATATACTTGTCAGACCTCAATTTCTAAATATACTATTCAGAACTCAACATTCTCCTCTATTGGTATGTGCTTGTCGTGTTCTCTCTGCCACAGACCACTACTTTGATTTTGGTTATCACATTTCATACCTTTAATCTTGTTAGTATACTGTATAAGTTGCCCATTTTCCTGGATGGGTGTGTACTTCACTAAAAAGCAAATAGGAAAAGAGTAGACTTGATGGCTTTTCAAATACTGAAACTGATAGCATTCACTCCCTCCGTCCCAATTCAAGTGTCTTAGTTTGGCTGGCATGGAGTTTAAGAAACAAAATGAGACCTTTGAATCTTGTGATCTTAATAAAAGATGTGTTTAGTTTTTTAAATCTTGTAGTCTTTAAGTATAGAAAGAAGCCACTCTTTTTGGGACAAAACAAAAAGGAAAGTAAGACACTTAAATTGGGGACAAAGGGAGTACAGATCAATTATATAATTTATTCCACAAGTTATTTAGACATTTTCAGAAGCAATGCACTAATGAATCCCTTTCAGGTTTATGTGGATACTGTTGGTGATCCTGAAAAGTACAGAGTGAAGCTATCTGAAATATTTCCAGCAATCAAATTTGTTGTTGCAAAAAAAGCTGACAGTCTTTACCCTGTCGTAAGTGGAGCCAGTATTGTTGCAAAGGTGACTTGGCATCTGCCACTTTGTCTCGTTCTATTTACCTCCCTTTGTAAAATTAGAATCTGAATTCATAAGTCTTAATGTCATTTATAACCATCTTTAAGGTTACTAGGGACCGAGCCTTGCGGGATTGGGTGCTTGATGAAACTGCTGAGAACATGCAAAGGAACTTTGGATCTGGATATCCTGGAGGTAGTGTTAAACTTCCATTCAGTTAAAATTGGGATTATATGTTGCTAGATTCTAACATCTTACTCAAAATGGATGGGGCAATTTGACATCCATTTTTGTCTGTAGATCCTGAGACAAAAGCTTGGCTGGATAATCACAAACATGCAGTTTTTGGGTTCCCAACCTTGGTCCGTTTCAGCTGGGGAACATGTAATGCATACTCCAAGGATAACGTCGAAGTAGTATGGTGAGTCCATTACTAACTTCCATAAAACATTTGACTGTACTAAATTCTGCTGGATCCTTGTACTCAAAATCTCGTTGTTTTACTTTCACCTCAAATCCCTTTGTGTGGCGTGTTTTAATAGAGAGTTGGAACATGGAAATGAGTGAGCTTAATCAAGTTCTTTTTTCCGACTGCAACAGAAGCAAGTTCAAAATATCAAAATCATATTGCTATCAATGTTTAATCTGGATCTTTTTCATGTTATTTCCATAGGGAATCTGATGCTAATGACGAAGATGAACCCAACGGAAGAGCTAGTAAGCGGCAAGTGAAGCTAACTAATATTGGTTTCACTGGTGTAAAGAGGAAAAGTGAAGATATTGAGTCAAATGGGAAAGGCCGTTGCAAATTCTTCCAAGCTCGTAAACTTGAGCTCCTCTCACAGTTCTGAAGGACACAATTCTCATTTACTGATAGAATGTGAAATGTTGCTTCAAAACCAAATTCATCTGGCATTAACTAGAACAGGATGGTGATTAGATTAGTTAGTTATATACCTGCTAGCTGATCGAAAAAATGTTTACCAGATTTGTAATGCGATTAATATGATAAACATCTTTTAAGGATTATCCATACATGTTCTCCCTGGTTCCCACAGTTTTTTGTACTTGCAGCAACTAGAATATCTTCTGCTCATCTGAAAGGGACTCGGAACGTCTCGTTTTTCATGTAATCACTTAAATTATGTGTTATTTCATGTGTATCAATCATTAGTGTCTGATGTATCTTCCTACATTGCCTCTAGATTTATAACTCCTCATATGCAAAAGATAGTTCCACCTGATTTGAAGAATTCTGATGTTATGCATTTAAATTGAAATGTTTCATATTTACATCTTTGGCGGTGGAGCCAGAATTACATCAATCTTTGGTGAAGTCGAAAGAGATTCAACATCTATTGCTTTGTTATTATGATTTCCAACACACATTTCTAAAGAAATACTGAATCTACACAAAAGTTACTGAATTCTCGAAAACACACGTACCCAAAGTTGTAGATCCTTCCCTGTCTATCAGATCCAGATCCAGCTTTATTTGAAAAGATTACATGATACAAATGTAAACACCAAGAACAATAAGAGAAGTACCAAAAAGAGCAAGACCAACACGAGTTTCTTCACCAAGAATCAATCCAAAAACAGCAGTAGCAGCAAAAGTGGTGGCATTCGTAACAGGAACAGCTAAAGAAATTGGTGTATCACTTAGAATTGCAAAGAAAGTAGCTGATGCAGACAGATTTAGAAGAAATGGCAATGAATATTGCCAAATCAACAGAAGTTTGAGCCAATTTTGTAGAGTTGTGAGGACTGGGTGTTGGGGTGTGTTTGGTTGAGGTAAAGATTTGATGGTTTCGTCCCATTTGATTGCCCCTTTTCGCATTAGGGCATTTGTTGCTCCCCAAACAAGGCCTACTGTTATCATCTTCTCCACTTCTCCGATCATCTTTTCCCCTCAATTTGTGATTTTGGATTTTGGGAGCAATTCTCTTTTTAATTGGGGTCAATCAATTGAATATTTGTCCGTAATAATTTATTTATTTTTTATTAACCTTATTTTTAAAAAGTTCATTGTCAATATTCTGAACGTATGTCACCTAAGTTTTAATTTTTAACTATTGACTAAACAAGTTCATTATCTTAAAACTAGTAAAATTATCCGCGCTTCGCGCGGGAATTTATTATCACAGTATTTATAAAATAATACTTAAAACCTATTAGTCATTAAAACTAAACACAATATTATCTTACATACAAGATTACGTAGTAACAAACATTAATAATGTAAAGGAAAATTAAAATTATTATATCTTATCATTTATCCTTAATAACATAAGCATAAATTAATAACTGTAAAAATACATACCAGGATCTGTAACATAAGCAATGGTGTCAGTGAGCCACAAAACATGAGCAAAATACACAAATATTTAATTGTGCAGCAGAAGAAGAAGAAGAGGTTCAGAATTTTCGTTGTTTTAAAATGAGAAGAATCTCTCTATTTATAGACAACAAAGGGTAGTGTGAACAAATGTTTATTGTGCCTTATCGGAAAGGTTACTACTTACAACTATTTGGAAAAGTTGCAACCCTTTGGAAAGGTCACAACCTTTCATAAAAGTCACAACTTTTCATAAAGTCGCAACTCTTCATTAAAGTCACAACTTTTCATATATGTCGCAATTATTTATTGAAGTCACAACTCTTCATAAAAGTCACAACTTTTCATACAAGTCGCAACTCTTCATTAAAGTCGCAACTCTTCATAAAAGTCACAACTTTTCATGAAAAGAAAAGGCTAATTTTGGAAATAAATAAATTAAAAGAGAATTCTAGTTTGTGGTGACGTCACGTAGGCGGGCATAAAGTTATGTTTTATATATGATATATGATATGATATGATATATGATATCCTGAACGCCTGGCACCTAAGTTTTAACTTTTTACTATAAGACGGAATTTATGATCAATTGAATAAGTTCATTATCTCGAAATATTTTGAACATATGTCACCTAAGTTTTCAATTGAACTGAACACCACCTAAGTTTTAACTTTTGGTTATAAGACAGTTTCTGATCAATTGAACAAGTTTGCAATCTTAAATATTATAAATGTTTGTCTTATAAGCAAAAATTAATTAATTTTTTTTTTTTTAAACGGAGGCTTTTTTTTATTAAAAAATAATAATAAAATTAGCAGGGTCAAAAATCAAAAACACCGGATTACTCATCTATCATAGGCCCATTTTAAAGCTATCCACAAAATTCATTTTAACATCTTTACTCAGTCTTATAAAGCTGTTAGTGAAAAACTCAAGACACAGACTTCAAAAATTTGTTTCCAAGTGAAGTTAAAGAATTCAACAAACATGAACCACCTAAAGATCCCATGTTCTCAAATCCTCATTAAGTATTTAGCCAAAATGTGTATTTAAGTCCCAAGAGAATGTAGGAAAATCAGTGCCCTCACAAAGTCGGATACAAAGTACACGCGAGCAGCAACCGTTGCACCTAATGAAACATAATGTAAAAGATAAGTGAGTTCAATCTAGTATGAATCCTTCTAAATCCAACAATCTTGTCTCTACGCCGACTTGTGTGAAGAGAAGAAACACTGATATCCAAAGTATATCAGTGGGATCTGATAGTCAGCTCACGTATCTTAAATCAAAAACGCCATATCAGTTGAATCCCAAAGTATATAAGTATCCTCTTTAGTCAGTCAAAAGACATTTGGAATTTCACCAGAGTGACTATAATCAAGAAGCCCTCTTAGGAGGTGCCATATTTTTAATGAGAGAAATGGTTGTACCAATTACAAATAATTGCACCACAAATCCTGCAGAACAAGAGCACGGTCAATACATCAACTGTATACAACATATGATGAGAACCAGCTTTGCATCAGGAAGCTTACCTAGTAGGACAACTGCAATCTTCAGAGTTTCCAAACTCGTAAAATTTTGGAAAGCCTACGCAATAACATCATTAGATTATTTTTAGTCAAGCCAAAATGATAACGAGAAATCAAAGACAGAAGCAAATACATAATAATGTCATTAAGAGATCAAAGGAAGAAGAAAATTCACATAAAATCAAAACAACGACCGACTTCTTGCAATTGAGGAAGAAATACCTCAGGTTGACTGGTTCTGAAGGAAGGAAAAAGCAGATACACTGTAAAGATGGTGCTTTGTGTACTCCAATTAAGTATCATACTTACTGCTTAGTTGCGTTCTTTTATTTCCATCTTAATCAATCTATCAAGCCTTATGCAACCTATTGAGTTGGGTTATACTCTCTTTTTAACCTTCTTAAGATAAGGGTTGTCAAGGAAGGACTTGTGATATCAACTTATTTATTTTGGACTGCAAATTAACGAGCAACTACCTGAAAATCATACTAGAGTGACAAAATTTTCCATCGTGTAAATGGAGGAAATAGTTCTATCGATCAGAACATTACTTACAAAGTTAAGAAATATAAGTACTGCTTCTTTCGATTCTAAAAAACTATTTGAAGTCAAGATTGGAAAAAAGTTAGTGGAACTTGAGAATTTGTGAGTGCAAGTTCAAGATTTGAAAAACTTCCCTTCAAATACACCTTGAAACTACAATTTAAAATCTTGAACTTGAAGATTGTTTTCCTAAGTTTTACATTAAAAACTCAAATACTAACTTCAAAAGAAATTCTTAGTGAAGTCAAGGAATTCAACTCAAGTGCCATTAGATCATCCAAGTAAATCAAGGTTCTCTTAATACAATCATGCCAAAGAACTAAGAGGTCCCTATTCAACAACAACAACCAGGGGCGTATCTAGAGGGGGTGCCGTGGGTTCACGTGAACCCATGCTCCCCTCTCTAGATCATATATAGTAGTGTTATATTTTTTATAAAATATTTAAATATAGATGTGTGAACCCACATTCAAAGTATCATATAATACTACGATGATGATTGGGTGCACCCCTCTAAGTGAGGATAGAAATTTAAATCTTATATCTATCTTGTCTTTTACTAACACCTCTCTAAGTGGTTATTGGTTACACTTTTGGCGTTTTAACTAATTATTCTTTTGTTTTTTTCCTTTAATCTTTCAAAATTTTCAAGTATGTTACATTGAAAATTCCTAAAATAATTAGCACTATAAAATTTTTATATAATTAAATCAAATTTGTATATTAAAATTTAAAACTAGTAGCATTATATGTTTTGGACCTATAATTTTTAAAATTTAATGGTTCATATTAAAAACCTAAAAGTCAAACCGATCAAATTTATATTTAAGATACATTTTTTTGTAATTGTGCACCCATCTTGCGGAAATCCTGGATACGCCTCTGACAACAACATACCCCATGTAACTCCAAAAGTGGGTCTAGGGAGGGTAGAATGTACGCAACCTTACCCTTACCTTGTAGAGATAGAGAGGTTGTTTCCGATAGACACTCAGCTCAAGTAAAGCATCTCAAAGCAGTTTGAAAAAGAGAACACAGAAATGAAAGTAGTAACAATAACAAAATAAAGCTGGAAAGCAGTACATAGCATACACAAAAAAGAACAGTAACAACAATGAACTAATGTGATAACCGAAGCACAAGAAACACAGATGGTAACAGCAATCGACGAACAAGAAACTATGAGAATAGTGCTAAAATATAAAACCTATTTAGCATATTTCTGTCGTAGATACATTTCTGTCTAATACAATAGCTAAGCATCATTTTTCTAGTCGGAATGAATAACCACATAACCATACCTCCAATTGGAGATTGCTCATAGCAAGATATGCCACTGACAGCAGGATTGCCATCGACGACCCAAAGACATAAAACTTCAGAAAATTGGATCGGCTTTTCTTTCGACCTAATTACAACAAGAGGGAATGTCCAATTAAAAGATGAATGTTTAAGTAGATTAGATCACGAATGAGATCCAGTAGCAAACCTAGTTCTCCTGCCACAACAGACACGAAACCAATCCCAAGGGAAACAACCGAAACTCTGTCGGGAGACTCGTTCTTTGATAATGAAACAAATACATTAGCTGCTATCATCAATTGAGTGACAACCTGAAGCGCACGATACAAAACTATCAATAGAAAGATCTCACACTAATATGCTTACACATTGTTATTCCAGAGCATGTCGCTTAAAATACTGGAAACGAGATAACTAGTTTAGTTAAGCCTCCATTCATCTCTCTTTCCACTAGTTTTGACTATCAATATTCTAGTTTTAAGAAAATGATGCAGTTAACCAACAAATCTAAAATAGGGGAATCGAGAGTATACTATCCTATTGGATCCTAAACAAAAATGTCAATGCGTTAATGGCAGTACAATTCAAGTTCAGATGCCTATATTAACTGATGAGTAATGGTGTATTTAAAAACAACGAACTTCATGACTTTTTTATGTCAAGTGAATCCACAGCCACTACCTTGCACTCGATAAACCCCACTCCAGTGTAATAACTCGCAGAGGTAAACCACACTAGGCAAACCTCGTGCAATGAGCTAGACCGAGAAACCATTAACTTCAGAACTTGTTTAAATCCTACCTCAAAAACTGGAAAATAGCCCTAAAATAACCAATTCTGATTAAACCAGAGATTATGTAACAATTAAAAAATTCAGTAGCTCAGTTAATTGACTATGTAATCCTCTCCTCCATTTCTGCTTCCTCTACCCCAATTTTACTTTTTTAAAACAAAAATTCAATCTACAAACCTGAACGATGATCAATTTGGCCAAACGAGACTTTGCTTTTGCAACTTTCGTGTATCCTGCCAAAACAAAAATGAACATTAAAGCAATCGGATGGAAAATGGAAATGAGAGATTGTGAAACGGAAATGGGGAAATAGTACTTGAATCAACGACCATGCGGTAGGAGAAATCAGAGCCATCAGTTCCCGACGGCCTCCCTCTTACGGCTGACCTCTGATTCATCTTCTCCGCAGTTTCTTCTCTCTCAACAACTCAGATTGATGACTTCGTTGAAGCCTCAAGCGAAGTCTCTGTTGAGCAATGGTACCAAGTCTGTTAAACGGGTGGGGCCAACCCGGAACGCTGGACGGATCCGCACGGTTTAAAAGATCTCCTAATCGGTGGCCCGGGTCGGGTAATACCATATTAACCATGAATCGAGTACCCATTATCGACCCAAGTCAATGTTAATATAAATTACCTTTTGTTTTAAACGTTGGATATTCAGGATAAGGTGGGAGTGATCTTTGTGGTAGACAAGGTGAGAAAAGCGAGATTAGGATAATTTGGACGTTTGAAGAGGAGATGCCCAGATACCCTGGTGAGGAGGGTATGAGAGGTTGGTTATACTTCGTCGGTTTATTTTTAGTTATATCATGATTTTTTTTTTGAGTCAAATGATAAGGACTTTGATTAACATTTTATGATGTAATTTTTCATTATATTAATATGTCAAATTTGTAATTTATAGTACTTTTTGTATATAGTTTTTGAATATCAAAATTTTTAGTTTAAAAATATCGAATTAATGTAATCTAATTTAACGTTGAAAACTAATCAAATTGACTTTCGAAAAGCGCAAAATGACAACTAAAAATGAATGAAGGGAGTAGTAGGTATGAGGAGAGGAAGAGATAGGACAAAAAGTATTGAGGGAGGTGATTAGACAAAACATGATGTAACTTTAGGTTATTGAGGACATGATATTAGATAAAAAAAAAAAAGGTGTGGATGATGTTTGTACTAAGGTAAACCGTTAGTAGGTAGTGGAGGGTTGTTTTGTGTGTTTTCGAGGATTTAGACTACTTGTTGGTACGTGTTTGTCGTTGTACTAGTCGTATTATTGTAGTTCTTACTTTTGATATCTATTATTATTTGTAATTAACTGTGTTTCAATTATCACAGTACTATATTGTTCATGTTCTTTTCTTGTAGCCTTTGCACTCACTTATTTATTAAAATACAATTTATTTTAATTTGTCTAATTCATTTCATCATCTAAGAATTAGAATTGATTTAGGTTAAATATAATGTCTAAATTGATCCATGTAAACCTTCTCAAAAGCTTTTAAGAAAAATAAATTGTTTGATATGTTTTATTCATAAAAAAAAATAATCATTAGTTTTGTTTAGTACTAAACAAATTATAAGAAAATAAAACTTTGGTAAAAATTGAGTTGGTTCGACTATAACCTTTCGTTTAATCTATTTTGACCAACCCAACTTAATAAACTTTTATATATGTCAATGACATCATTTATTTTTTTATTTAACTCATTTTAACGTATACAATTTCAACTCAACCTGTACATTTGACTCTAACCTTCCATATCATACATTTGGAGGGGGAGGATATTACTTGTTGAACCCAACAAAGAGAGGTACTTTGAACAATTATCTTTAATTAATTTCAAAGAAGTACATTACCTTTGACTACTTAGCAAGAACAGACATATCCAAGAAAAGAATCTTTACATTGCATTTCTTGATGAATTAGAATAATTAAGTGTACATCTTTAAGCTTCTCATTATTTCATACACAAATCTGTGGCTTGGAAACTCAGATACCATTTATTAGCTATTCCTTTCCCCCCATAATATTCCATCCCAAGGAAATTATAAATTAAATGATCATTACTTTTAATAAAAGGAAAAGGGATGTGATAGTTGCTTTTAGAACAAACTAACATCGTAGCGGAGTTAATGTTTTTACTAAGGAGATTTAAAATATAAAAAAATCAAAAAATTCAATATATATTATATATACGTAAAAAATAATTTAAATCTTGTATTATATATATCAAATGTAATTTTTATTAAAATCTGAACTCCTTGTGGTACCCTAGCTCCACCTACTGTAGCATACATGTAAGGGCGAAGCTAGCATGTTGATTACATCTGGTTCGGCAAAATCCAATAGGTTTAGCATAAATCCCCATATTTATGTTAAAATTTAGTTAATAAATATATATAATTAATCACAAATTCAATAACTTTTTTTTGTAGAGGTGGCACATCTATATATATCTCTACTATTCTAAGTAGGAAAATACAAGCACTTGACTATGAGTTAGGTTTTAATAGTACTTTATAGGGAAAGGAATAATTGACTATGAGTTAGGTTTTAATACTTTAAGGGAAAAGGAATAGATTTTTTTTTTAAGGGAAAAGGAATAATTAATCAAGAATTCAATAAAAAAAATTTAGAGGTGACACACTGACACACATATATATATATATATACACTATTCTATGCAGGAAAATGCATGCACTTAACTATGAGTTAGGTTTAATACTTTAAAGGGAAAGGTTAGTTTACATAGATAATGTCATAGAATACAATTATAGGATAAAAGAAAGTTTGGAAAAGGTATAATATGATGTGTATTTTTTTATAAACAATTTATGAAAGCAATGGACTACATATGCTAGTCTTAAAGAATAAAGTTTATGTTTTGGTGAAAAGGCATGTAACTAGGGTTTCATGATTTTAATATATGGTATGTGTTTTCATTATATTCTAAAATTTAGCAATTGCTTGATGAGATTGTCCACTTGACTTTAAATTTAAAGATTCCTAGGATATACAGTGCTTGGAATGTCTTTGTCCTTTGTGGTAAAATTCATGATATCCATAGTTTTTATTAGTTTTTATTTCCTTTTTACTTTGTGGAATGTGGGGGCATTGTAGAGTCCCTTGGCTGATGTTATAGGTAGAGCTAGGGGCGCAAAGAGTTTATTCAAAAAAAAATTTTATCTTAAAAAATTATATGGTATATAAAAGATTATTTGGTGTAAAATGTATTTTATGTTCAGGTAGAATTTGGAGAAGAATCGCATCCTAATGCAAGCATCAATTTTTATTAATTACAACATAGGAAAATAAGTCAAATATACTTATGAACTATTTAAAATAGGATAATTTTATTTTTCATTCATTATATTTTTGTTCAAAAGTATCTCTACTGTTATGTTTTTGGCTTAAAAATATCCTCAAACTATCAAATTAACTCAAATAAAAAATACTCTTCTTACTACCGTTTGCTCCAAAACAAGGAAAAATGGGTCAATTTTGTTCTTGAATATTCAAAATAGGATAATTTTGTCCTCTATTTAAAGTTCGGGATAAGTGCTCTTGATTGTAAAAACTTGAGAAAAAACTTATATTAGTAATTATGAGAATAATTTAACTGTTTTAATTTAAATAAAAACTAATATATAATGCTAATTTTATATTTTATATAAAGTTCAAAATAAATATTTCTTTAACTTCTTTTTATATTTATTTGCTTATATTTGGAGCCTCCATAATAAAAATTATGACTCCACTACTAATTGATGCTAAACCATTAGGATAAAAATAAAGAAGAATTGCATGGACCTCCTCTGAGGTTTAGGCAACAATTATTTGATTTAATTTTTTCTCTGCACAAAAGAATGAAATTTAATGTATAAAACAATTTATTTATTTAAAAAGGGGAGAAAACCCGCATGAGAGACACATATTACAAGAAATTCAGTATAATTTCATAAATAGAATTCAGATTATGTTATACTTGAACTTTTTTTAAAACTTGTTTGGCTTTTGTGCATTTAATTTTTTATTCGAATTTATACACTTTGTTTGGATGGTTGTTACGTATTGTTTCATAATGTATCGTATTGTATCGTACTGTATTATTTTAATGTATACAGTGTTTGGATAGATTGTATCGTTCTCCATCGTTATATAATGTCACACATTCATAATTTAAGTGATAAACCTACCAGAAAAGTAGAGTACGTGGTAGAGCTATTCTGAAAAGGGAGGATGAAAGATGAAATATAATTATTAAATAATAAATAAAAATAAAATAAAAGAAAATACTAAGGTAACTATGCGATTACACCAAATTAGTCGTTACATAAAATGATTCTTTTCATCGTTACCTAACGATGAAGTTCAACAATACGATACAATATAATTTAAGTAACAATCAAAACAAACATTATACTTAAACTAACAATACAATACAATACAACACAGCGGGTAACAACCATCCAAATAAGGTATCTCTTTAGTGAAAATTATGACTCCGCTATTTCTAGTGAACTAGTTTTCACTAAGTTATTCTGTTTTTCATTTTTGATTAGTATGATTTTGTTATTTATGTCTATGTATGTGAAGAGATTGGGGACAAAAACAAAAATAATAGATAAAAGACAAGATGATAAACTTATGTATAACAATTCAACATCTTATACAAGGGAAAGTTTAGTAGAAAAAAGAGGAAAATAAAAGAGACATAATACACATCCTAATAATGCATCTCCAGCCTAATCAAAACAAACACTACACATATCAACTTGTTTTTCATGTACAACAACAAAAACACAATTGTAACCTAAGTAGATCAAAGACATAGTCATAATGCCCTATATCAAAATGAGACGAGTCAGGGATCCAGAACGACTTCATTTTACTGTTTAAGTACAAAGGTACGCGAAGAACATTGTAGCGAATAAGGCTAGATATACATTGTGGCTTTTGTGGCTACTAGCAGCACCGCGATGGCGATTGTGATGAGCATTTGCAGCGTAAATTGGTATGAAATTCGACGATCCTGGAGATCGAGAGCCATAGCCATTTGCTTCCCCTCCACTTCCTCTGCCACCAACAACATGAGACTCTGCAGCATGGCCATATTTGTTGTTGTTACTTGTTATAATTGTATCTCCATCAACATTATGTTTGTTGTTAAGTTGTTCAGATACTACAATACAAGATTTATGCATATTAATGAGCATATAAATTTCAATCGAATTAGATACAGAATTTAAACTTGATAGAACATGATTTTTCCAGTCATCTTTTATCGAATCAAACTCACTGTGAAAATACATGGTGAGAAACAGATTCTCGCTGAAATAATGTGAAACTTGATAATTTTTCCAAATATAGTGATTTAGTCAAAATTATTGTATTCAAATGAATTTGTAGCTTGTTGACTAAATCCTCTCAGGACTGATAATCCGAACCCTTCCTAGACTGAACTCTCTTTTCTTTAGGCTCGCGTAGAGATGCACCAAAGAAATAATTGGAAAATTAAAAAAAAAACATCCCCTGCTTTCCTATACTATGATTCATATGTAAAAAGTAAGAGAAAAAAAAATCTCAGTTCATTGAAATAAGGTAAAATACAAAGTTTTCCTTTCAATTAAGTAATTAGATCAAATTACAAATAGCAACACTTCAACACCTTGATTTAAATTGAAAGAGTTAAAAAAAAACATAGAGGAATTGAGAAAGTGTATAAATGAAATAAAAAAATATTACCATTGGCTTGATAAAATCCACATGAAAAGTAGAAGGCCAAAAATAATAGTAGTATTATTTTCTTGGTTCCCATTTTTGTTGAATAAATTCAAGAACTCCCATAAAAAGAATTTTAATTTGATCTTATTCTAAAAATTTCCCAGTATTTATAGCCTTTGTTTATTGTTCTTGAATAGATCTTCTCACTTAAAAAAAGAAAGAGAGAAAAAAACTTTATTAAAGTTAGAAAAGACAATAATTTATTTTCTTCTTTAAGTGATCTTATCAAGTGGGGGCTGAATATAAGTGATACTAATCTTAGGACACGTATTCTTGTCTCTAAAATTATTGAATTGCCTAAACCTACGACGCTTAATCAAGCAATATGTGTCGTGTTGGTTTGGACGTGGGAAAGATTGTTTATATTATATCTTTTAAATGTAAATTTTTCGTAAAATTTGCTCATATAAAATATTTTATGTACTGAATTGTTGAATTATTTTCTTTTTTTTTTTACGTCTTAGCCCATATTTATATTTTTTTGTACTTTTTCTATTTTAATTTATGTATTATATATTTTTAAGTCTATTTAAAGAGAATAATATATGTTCTTATTAATCTGATTTCACATATGATCTCTCAATTAGCAGTAATTATTTGATACTATTTTCTTTAGGATAAACATAGATGAAGATTGAAGAACCTTTTTTTTTAAAAGGAGATAGAAGACTATTGGTTTACGGATATAAACTGTTAGGCTAATATAAATTTAGCTAATTAATTATTTATTAATATAATATAATAATTAGAGAAGTTATAAATATATATGTATACCATTCGGCTAACTAGTTTATCAAAAGTTGAAATGTGCAGATATATTTTGTGTGTGGATACATTCTAATACTCTATTATATCCAACACATATATCTTATACTTATTTTATAAACAATTTATTTTATAAATTAGATAATCGAATGCTTTAGACCGGTAATCATCCATATAATATAATAAGTCATGTGGGCCAAATCTTACCAAGATTCCTCTTTTCCTTTTTTGCTTCGGTTTCTTTGTTTCATTTTAGCCAAACCTAAGTAATCTAAAGTTATCACTTTCAATGAAAGTTGAACACATCAATGGTTCCTTTGTGTTGGAGACTTGGAGTTGTTTATTGGGGCGTAAGGGAATTTATTAGATTTTTTTAATTAAAAAATTGCATTATTTATACATATTAAATTTTAAAAAATGATAATAATTTCTATTATATAGAAATGTGATGAGGAGGACGACCAAGGGCAATTTCGTCAATTTAATAAAATCTCAGTTTAAAGCAGTTGTACATAATGCAGAGGAGTTCTTGAATTTTCCAAAAAACCAGGCAACTTACTAGAAGAATCTATTACCTCTAAAAAGTGGGACCCATCTCTTGTAAAAAGTAGAGTACAATCAAGACCATTCTTTTTATTTTTTTTATTTTTTATTTTTTGATCTTTCCTAAAATTAGAATAAATTCTAATCTAATTGATGTATTTTGCTAAAAAAAATAATACATGGTAAATAAACAAATTAGTATTAAATTAAATTAAATAATAAATTAACATAATTTTGAATAAAAGTTTTTAAAGATTGTAAAAAAAATCAGTATGATAAATAAAATGTACAAATGAAGTAATAAAGTAAACTCAGAATGCTCACAAAATTTTGAAATAATAATTCTTCAAGTATAATTTTAAAATCCTCCTAATTAAAATTGAAAAAAAATAAAATATTCTTCGAATCTCATTTACAATAGAATGTTTTCCTCTTTAAGATTAATCAAATCAAAATTTAATTATTATAGTATATGACCTATTTTATTTTTCAAGTTATCAATTAACACTTAATATTATTATTCTTTTATCTCTAATAAGAATAGAAAAATACAAATTAATACATTAATCATGTTTTGATCATATAACTTATTGGTGATCAGAAAGATAAATTAATTAAAATCTAGGAAAAAAATTGACAATAAAAAATGCATAATTATAATACGGAAAATTGCATAATTTGAAACTATATGCCATCTTTTCATTAAATTAATACAAATAATAAAACAATACATATTATATTATAACTATATATTCATTTTACCAATAAAAATAAAGAAATGTTAAAATTTCTATTATCCATTAAGATAAACTATCCATAGACTTCACCAAAAAAAAAAAAAAAAACTATCGATAGAACTTCCTATAATTTAATATTAGGAAAAGTTTTACCAACGACTCTTTTCACTTATATAAAATATTGAGAAACAAGAATTAAATCACCCCAAATAAGGGTATTCATGAGAATGATCCACAGTATGATTTAAATTTTGAAAAAAAAATACACAAATAGACCTTAAAACTAAATTAATTATCTAAAAATGGCCAACCCAAACTAATTCCCTAAATGGTCAATCGGATGTGCCCTTTTTGTTTTGAAGTTAACTTTTGTTAATATTCTTGAATCCTTTTTATTTGAGATAAAATATTCATTCATCAGGTAAAATTACTTTAGAAAAAATTATTTGTCTACTACACTAAATTGTTCTCCTAATTTTAATGAACATAAAGACAAGACATAAAGTCAAAACTTTTTTTTCATCCTTTATCACTTTGTAAAGAATGAGATAATTCATTCTAATTTTCATCAAGTAGGTCATTATTTTTGTTTGTTAAACACCTATAATACAAATTTTAAGTATATTTAAAATTAATCTATAGATGGATCATCAGACTTTATTGCTTCATATAGTTTATGAAAATTGTTAATATATTGACACTCATCATTTTAATCTTTTCTCTTGAATAATTTTTATATAAAATAGAAAAAACATCATTAATTTAATTATTTAATTCAAATATATATGTTTAACATGATGTTAAAAAATCATTGAATCATGTGATATTTTATTATTCTTTTCTATCCTGTTTATTTGAATATATCATAATAATTTTTTTCCCCGAAAACTAATTAAATTTCCGTAACGGGCCTTTCATTATCTAGTAATATATATATATATATTGATTCAATGTAGAAATTTTTTTTGTTTCTAGTACTTAGTGAAAACATACAACATATAGTCAATAGGTATGTATATAATATATTATATGTATGTATATTATATAGCTATAATATGTATATTTAGTATAAAGTATACATTTTATTATTTTTTTTCATCCGGTGTTTGGAACCCTGATTAGATTCGGATAGGGCAGTGCAGGGCCCACTTGGGGGTGACGCTCCCAACAGAATTTTCTCCATACTCAAGGCTCGAACCCGAAATCTTTGATTAAGAGTCAAGTAATCTCACTACTGCACCACAATCCATGTTGGTTAGTATACACAATTTATACTATTGGTATGTATATTGAATTTTCTTGAGTAAACTATGGACAAAGTATTTAGGGCCATAATTTTTCTACTTTTTTCCACTACACTAAAAATGATCTTTAGCGGCAATTAATTAACGGTTATAGCTTAATTGTCGCTAAATATATATTTATGAAGGTAATTAATTAGCACTCTTAGTAAATGTCCATATAACCTATACGATATTACATCCAATGACAATAGATTAATACCAGTAAAAAATTTAGCATTCTTTATTAAGGAATATATTTATCTCCCTTCTAAAAATTATTTTTAATATAGTGTCCGTACATATTTAAAGAACCCAAATTGAATTTTGTCGAATCCGCAACACATTCTTGAATCTACACAAGGCTATCATCACATGTGCGTTTCCCTTTCTAGTCAATTATGTGTCTAAACATACTTTAACTTCTAAATATCATTTTTAAAAATTTAAATTTCAAATATTTTCTGCAATATCACTCAATTTATGTTCAAACTCCTACTAAGAGCAACAAAAAGTCTATAGCCCATGCAGCAAATTCCCTATGTCTTTTGCATTAAACAGTAAATTCATAAATTATATATACTTTAGCTTTGTTTCAATTTACATGTCGTATTTTTTATAATATATATTTATAAAATGTTAATTTCTACATTTAGTAACTCTATAATTCAAACATTTCAGATGATTTATTCAAGACCATAAAATTTTGAATGACATTTTCATATATTAATATACATATTTTTTAATTTAAGATTACAAAATTCAGAAGTCTTCACTCATTTCTTAACTGGTTAGCTAAAACATAAAATGAAATAGAGAAAGTAATATCTATTAGCACATAATTTTTTATCATTTAATTCTGCCCCCACCTCCAACCCCCACTCCCACGCCCACCCCCACCCCACCTCTCTCTATTTTTATTTAAACTATAATATATTAATATGATTTGATGAAAATATGGAATATCAAAATTTGCCGCCAGACCGTTGAATTTAGCAACTTTTTATGTTTTACATTTTGGGAAAAGGACATATCGCTCACTGCGATCGCCGAATATAGGAAAATTTGTTCTTCCTATATTTATATTATATTTAATTCCTAATCTTTGATTTGTTTAAATTTAGTAATAAATTCCCATATACTTATCTTGGATGGTGAAGCCACGTAAGCTAATTAAAAGATAATCAAATGAATATTCTTCGTTGAAAAATTATATTATATGAAAGTAAAATTTATAGCTTTTGATTTTAGAATTTTGGTTCTTTTAATTTAAGATATATAGAGTTCTATATTAAAAATAATTTATAAATATTTAATAAATTCTTAAGACATATATAAAATATAGACTAAAGTTACTAAATTCGACGAACGTCTATTTCTACCTTAAGCAGCCATATTATTCACGTACATGTAACTACTAATGCATGATAACAAATATGTCATTTTCCAAGAAATATATTAGTATTAAAAAGATTAAATATTGGATAGAAATATATTTACAAGTGCTGACAAAATTCAATTTGGTCCTGCAACGTGATTCGTCTGTCATTTACAAAACAATATGTTTCAATTATTGTCACTATATATCATGTGAGAAAGCATGACCCATATGCCCTTGATCTTCTTCTCTTTTTAACATATTCCAATTTTCTTCTTCTTCTTCTTCTTCTTCTTCTCCTCCTCTCATTATATTCATCAAACTCAAATTGAAATTTGAAATAAGCTATGTCTCTACAATCTTATCTAAATGAGAATCAGGTTCGTGCAGATATTGATCAT